GAAATCCTTTTTTTTTAAGTTCTTTAGTTGGATTTTCACAGGCTGTTATGGTATTGGCCTTTAAGTATTTTGAATTTCCAAAATGTAGTATCTATTAATATTCAAACATCTTTAAATAACAAATACAAATTACTTTGGGTTAATCTTTTGTTTTGAATGAATTCTGTATATTCTACTAGGTGATGAATGAGAAACATTTGATCTTATATTTATATTAATTCTGGTATCGTTTTTATAGTTCTCCAAGTTTTACTACACATTCTTTTGTTTGCTTTTCATTGTTAATCCTAGATGATCTTCTGTTTTCACATTTTCCTAAAAATTTTGTCCATCGAACAAAATGACTTTCGAATTCGTATTAATTACAAGATGCGGGTTACTTCCAGTGTAAGCAACAAATGTGCAATTAAGGGCTTTGCTTCTATAATTCTTTCCTCTCTAGAATTATCCATTTTTAACTATCTACTGGATTATTCTCAATAGAATGCAAATATGCTCTACTATCTCCCTGTTTTAAAATCCTCCGTCGAGAGCTTAAAAACCTTCCCAACTATCATTCATTTCTCTACAACTCTTTCCAGCAAAACTACTCCACAGAGCCATCTAGACTTCAGTCCCCCTTCTCTCACCTCCCATCTGAACACAAACGCACTTCAGTCTGCCCTTAGTCCCCACCGCTCCACTGACACACTGTACCACCAGTGAACTTGACCCCTACCAAATGCTCAATTCTTAGTCCTTATTTTATACGGCCCCTTAGCAGCTTTTGATGCAACTGATGGCTCCCTGCTTGGAATACTCTCTTCACCTGCATGCTCTTTAACACTCTCTTCTTACCCCATTAGCAGATGAGAAGGAAGGAAGAAGGAAGGGAGACCCTAAACACCCCCTACTTTTCCATCAAGGCAGAAACAAAGCTGAGAACAACTTCACATGAGATGTAAGACCCTCTATGCTTTCTGCTATTACATATCTGTAAAAATTAATGAAAATCTGTGAACTCTACCCAAAACTTCCCCAGGCTGAAGTGAAATTCTTTTATGAGGTAAAACAATCCCTTAGGGTCTTGTTTATAAATAACATGTTTCAGGTTAATACTGGTAACAAAACTCGGGCCTGACCAGTCTACCGGCTGTCTCTTCTACATGGAGAGCCTTCGACCCCTCAGCACTATCACTCTGAGAGACTATCTACTACTTCATCCTTTGGTATCAAGCAAAAAAAAAAAAAAAACAAAGAAAAAGAAAAGGCCTTCCTTGGGAGAGTTTCTCTGAGATAGGTTGGTAACCTGGGCTAGCTAACAACTCATCATTCTTTTAGATCAATATTCTTTAAATACTTGGATCACACAAAATACTATCCTCATTTCACATCCTCTGATGTTAGTCAAACATATCCATGTAGAAGTTTTATCCAGAATTCCCAAAGCCTAACCACCCCTTCTGAGCATCACAGTACAAATACTTCTTCCAACCACATATAACACCCTCCATGAAAATACTTCTGTCAAATACTACTTTATCTGCAATTGTAATTAAACTTTGCCATCGGCAAATCCATGGCTAGTCTATGTTTTCATCCAACTCTATCTGTAATTACCAGTTATTTGTATAATTTGTTGTTTAATGTCTATATTTCCTAATAGATTATAAACACTCAGAAACAGCATCTGTTTTGATCAACACTATATCCTTGGTGTCAATAAAATGCCTAATACATGAGAGATGGTCACTAAGTACTTGAATGAACAAATGATTCAAGTCATATGCTACGTTATCTTAGACATGGATGAGTCCATTGATAGCCCTTTATGTAATGTGACACACAGTAATCTATTTCTCTACCAGAGACCAGATATGTTACACCAACTTTAAAAGTTATCAGCCCGTATAATCATCTACATTTATGAGAGTTAGTTTTCTATTTTTATTACTAGCATTTTGAAAATCTGATTACTTTATCATGTTTTCCTTTGCTCATCCAAACCAGATATACAAGCCCTCAGTGGGAATGGAAATAGGGGCTCCCTTTATCACTCAGCCACTTCATTGCTGGCCTTGAGCCCAGCTATATGGGTGCAGAACAAAGACTTGAAGAATTACTGAAATGCTCTTTCCTTTATTCATGCTGGGAGGTAGGTACACCTCCTCCGCCAGACACGTTTACCATCATCTAATTAATCAGCTAAACAATGAAAAAACTTATAAAATGCTGTAAGCAATATTTGTAGAATATGGTGATTATAAAAATTTAATATAAACTAATAAAAATAGAAAATATGGGCTTTTCCAGACAACTTCTCATACTAAACTCTCATCCCTTACAATTTGTTGTAGTAACAACTTTGAGAGGCATTTCTATACTGCTTCTTGGGAGCAGTTTTTCATTTTTAAACTTAATAAGTTTTTATTCCCTACAACTTTCTGTTTTTACAAGACAGGGAAAAAAAATTCTGAATGTTATTGCTTCATGTATTTGGCTGGGGAGATAATAATTATATATAACTGCAAGCATTTATGGATAGTTAATCAATGCTAGATGTTTATACATAAACTCCTACTTAATCTTCTCAAGAATCTTCAAAGATCAGTCAAGTTTTTAATCCCATTTTATCACTAAAGTAAATAAAGATTAGTGAGATTAAATAACTTTCCCAAGTCTAAAGTTGTAAATGAGAGAACTAGAATTCTAACTTGTAGATTCTTGATTCCGAATCTCAAACTCCTAACGTCCACATCTCAGGCCAGGGTGTTTATGATTACAGGAATATTTATTTTTGATATGAAACACCTTTGAATAAAAAACACTGCACATAACAAATATACTCATGTAGAGAACAAATAACATCCTGAGTTTTACCAAATTCTTCTACAAAGATGTATTTTCCAGAAAATTAAATTTTGGCAATATACTTTATATGTTATATACTTTAAATAAAAATAATCTCTCCCATAAAAATGATAACAGCAAATAAATGAGATATCTTTTTTCCTTAATTGGTGTATCAAAATTACTTTTAAAAAGGCATGAACAATGTTAAAACCCTTATTAATCAATTTCTTAATAAAAGCAGTATTTCCTTTAAGTGGTACCTCACAAAGACTGGATTCTATGATATACACATATATACTATATAAAATAATGTAACATGCAAGTTTGTATTTTTGCTATTTGCTAATTCCTAATTCTTAAAAAAATATATAAAAATATCTAAAATTACTATGCTGCACATCTGAAACTAATAAAAAATAATGTTGAATGTAAAAACTGTAATTTTAGAAATTTAAAAAAGAAAAAAGAATAGAAGGAATTGGAGTAGAATTTTACTAGGTACGAAATAAGTTGGGGGAAAATAAAGTCCAAAATAGAATACAATAAAAACCCTATAATTATAAAAGAAAATAAACTCGTGAGGTCTTCAGTTATGTTGTTATTCACATCTATTAGCTCATTTTGATTAGAAGTTTTAGTAATATCAAAGAGAGTTCAGCTCAAGTAAAAACCAATAAAAAAGACCCGTAGTCTCTCCTTTTCCTCAACCTGTTCATAGAGAACGTGGTGACACTAGTTCCTGGCCTTCACCCAGAATAGTACAAAAGAGAAATTGTCAGGGAAGCACAGTGTTTACCTCTCAAGATTGCAGTCTGTAATCTGACTGCTGTGAGTCAAGAAATATTTCACTTGGTAAAACTGGGAAGGTGAAATTTACTTCCTGTGCTACAAAGAAACTCACAGCACTTCTCATAAACACAACCTTGCCAAAGGTGAACATGCAATTTTACAGTGTATGTTTGCAAAAATTTCTCTAAGTATACAATCAAATGTTATTCCTATGCGTTGAAGCTGCTCTTACACAGGAACCTAAACAACTACGTTTACTGGAATTTTATGAGAAGGAAGTGTTTTATGTATTCATCAGTCATATTTTAGTTATAGGCCTCAATAGTAATATGGTTTTCAAAGCAAAAAGAAATACAATATAAAGTTTTAATCCATCACCATTTCTAAGTTCTGAAGACAAAATACATAGATATGTATTCAGTTTAAAAGAGAATGAACCAATGATCGTGGGATCGTGGACATTTTACATTTCTTCTAAAGAAGGGTGGCTTACTTTTTAGATTCATGGGAAAGAAAGAAAAAATATTAAAAACATGATTCTATTACAAGTTCCTTCTAGTAAATTGGGGGAGAAAAGAACTTAGAAGTAGATAAATAACTTCATGATCAGCTATAAACTGTCATATATAACTAACTAACTAGGTATTATTAAATATTCCCTTCTGTTCTTCCCAAGAATCTTCAAAGATCAGTCATGTTTTTAATCCCATTTCATCACAGAAGAAAATATTCTCTTAATATTAATACCGCATGTTGAAATATTTCCATCATACTAAGATATCCTGCTATTTAAAATAACGATAACTTGAATCTTATATAAATATAAGAGCTTAAGCTACATGATATTTCTGTAGCCAAACACTTAACTTGAAAATTATTTTAATGGCCAATGAATTTACAAGTTACTTAAAAGTGAATGAGCAGATTTCAAGCATTACAACTTCATGGTATTTTATATCATTGTCATCCAAATAAGTTCCAGCCTGAATGACTACAAGAACAAACACACTGATTCACTTTTGAAAATTTCATAATGGATCATTTCTATGAGGGATTTATGCATTTACACTTACAAGCTGTTATACTATCTATAGGTTGTCCTTCCCATCTGGGTATTTGAACATAAATGTTATTTTGCAAATACAGGTATCTAAATTATGCCATTAAATGACTTCCTACATAAAGTAGAGGCTAAGTAACACTGAATCATACACGTATGTAATCTGAGTTTAGTTCCTACCCTCGATGGCTCTGAGGTGCTATACACAGAACTTGTTTGGATACAGTGTATTTGCATACGATTTAGGGCCCACTCACTGAATGGAGGAATAGTTACCTCTAGTGCTGAAATAAATCAAGGCTTTGCTTGTGTCCCTTACCTTTGCCATGACTTCTCCCATCCTCCAAAAGCGGCACTACAATAGTGTTGTTCACATTTCCAGGTGACCGCACGGCTGTGTAGACAACAGGCACCGACTGCACCACCACAGGGATGCGGTGAACGTGACTCAGTTTGTTAGACTGTAAATTCATGGGACTTGAAGGCGGTACAGGATGGATAATGTGCAAAAACTGCTGGCCTCCCACACCAGATGCAGAGGCAACAAGGGGCCCTGGAGTTAATACTGTTGACGAAGATGATGCTGAAGATACTGATGTTATAACAGTGGGGGATGAGGCTGGACGACTAGAAGACGATGAAGAGGTTGAAGTTGAAGAAGGTGAGGAGGCAGACGCTGTCATGGAGACTGGGGAGGATGAAACGGCCGTGGGGGATGTCCTGGCTTTGTTGATAGACAAGTCCACTGGCTCAGTTTGTGTCTGGAAGTGGTCTACAGATAACGAGTCCTCCGGCGGCTCCCCTTTCACGTTATTTAACAACAGGGGAACAGCTTCCATATCGGGGTAGTTGTGGACGTTTGGAGACTGTGGGGAGAAAAGGGGAACACACATTTATCTTCGATAATCACACATTTTAATAGATGCAAGGTTTATTACTGGAATGATTATTAATTTTTCTCTTATTGCTATGAGACATTAATTTGGTCCCCAGGTATTTCAAGGATTGTTCTGTGGTTATCATCGTGATTAAAGTTGAGAGTACAAAAGTACAAAACTGAGTAAGAAAAGGCCTCTGCTATAAAGACACATCCATCCTGTTGGGAGAGACAGGCGTTGTTAAAATCCAGGGACAGTGCAGTGATTGTGGGACGGGGGTGGGGGGGTAGATCGGGGGGAGGGGGGGCGGCGGACAAGGGGACAAAATGGTAATGGAAAAAATAGAATATAAAAATGCTAAAAAATGGAGTGGGCAGCCACCATTCAAAAAAATAAAATAAAATCCAGTGAAATAGTATACTATGGAGGAGTAAGGGGCTACAGGAACCTAAAAATGAACACTTTTACAGAAAATTTTCTAAAAGACAAGTTCAGTATGTAAAGCATTATCTACACAAAACTGTTAAGGCTGATACTTGCTAAGTGATACTTGCTAAGTTTACATGCAATCTATTTAGTTTAAAACAGTCATTTTGTTGGGTCTCCTTCATTTATGAGTCTCTGTCTTCACAGTTATAACATAATGAAAATTCTGATTATTTAACCTTAAATACTGCTCCAGTTCTAGGTTCTAATATTTTATAATCTAAGGCTTACCCAACATTTTCATAATCTGAAGGCATAATGTTACCTGGCAACAATACTGGGAAACCTTCATATTTGATCAAAGAGCTACCATACAATTCTCATGAGCATTAAAAAAGGGGAACAAGTTCTCCAACCTCCCACACCTGCCTACCACGTTATTAAATACAAATCATTTCTAAGAATTGGATTATAATTTAACTCTTAGCGACAACAATATTTTTTCTCAAAACAATACGAAGAACTACTACAATGAACTTTTTAGGACATAATAATTTCAGAAAAATCTTTTTTCTGGAAATTTTAAATTGTCTATGACTGTTTTGTATACCTTAAGATACTGAATAATAGTTTTGACCAAATTCAATTTCATTCTTTTAAGTTTTAATGAGTAAAATATGCTACTACTACTGCTACTGCTACTACTACTAATAAAAACTACAAGATTCTACCCAGACTAATGGACTCAGCATTTTATTACCAGGCATTATAATTTATTCTTAAATTTACTCACTCATAAATTCAACACGTATTTATTGGATGCCTACTTCCAAGGCCCATAATGTCTAAGAGTTCATTTAGCAAGTATCAGCCTTAACAGAAAGGATTAGACTGTCACAGGTCATTTTGGTTATATCTCATTTGACTAGGCTAACACAGACATTATTGCTCTATTACATGAAAATCAGAAACACTTTTTTCAGTTTCATTATGGTATCAGAACAACAATGCCTAAAATTATATTAAATTGCTACATTTCATCTTTGTTTAATAAAAGATTTTGGTTTGCTACCCCCTCCCCAAAATTGGGCATACACTTAAAGAAACAAAACATGTTTCTCAAAACCTTTCTTTATAGAATATAAATTATAGCTCCATTCAAAACATACAATGCGCAGTAATGTAAGGGAATTTTATCCACAACAAAGAGAAGAGAAAGAAACCAAGTCAACAATGGTACCAGGTCAACTGAAAAGGAAAATGAGTTGATGTTTTATTGTTTTTTTTCTTTTTGTTTCTATGATAATATGATTACTGACCCACAAAAAGATAAAATTAGAAAATATAGAAATGAATCATCCAAATATCTCCTGCATGAAATTCTAAATAAAAAGATTTCATTTATGTACTGAAATTGAGAAATAATTTTTTTAATCTTCTCAGATATTAAGAAACAAAAAAGGAGAAACACCATAAACAACTATTTTTATAAAAAGCCATTATCATTATCCAGCCTTGTAACTAGAACAATATGTCAGTTGGTTCCCAGCATAATTTTTAAATTTCTTTATAGAATATTTTATGAAAGGTTGCTGTCATAAAAATCTCAACTGGTTTATCATTAAAATTATAAAATATGTCATTAAGCCTATGCTATTAAACACTGTTTGACTTCAGATATAATCTTGATTAATTTCTCTTTTTACTTCAGAAGGCATATCCAAAATTAATTTTGGATATAGTGACTACTTCCATCTCAAATTTTTCTTTGCCTGTCTACTTAGATACAAGTTTCCTGCATAAGTTTACAAACCAAGTGCTGAGCTGTAAGTCTCCATTGTAGAAACATTTATAATTAAACAAGACTACTTGAGCAGATTATGACAATACAGAAGGTGATAAATATGGAGCTTATCTGTAAAGAGATGGCTTCTGAGGCATCAAGCTTCACTGCACTTTTCAACCTGCATAGAATTCCCTAGGCTATGAACAGGAGCCTACCTTTGGAAGGTATCTGCTTAGTCCATCACTAAGACAAATGCTTATTCTTGACGCTGTTTTACAACACATGATCATTCCTCTTACAATTCCATGATGACTGTATATCAGCCCCTAGGAGTTTTCAAATTCTGGAGAACTACACAGTTTTTGCATGAGCTCACACCAAAATGTACAAAATGCTCATAAAAATTAGGAAGTATTTTTATCCTTCCTAAAACCTTCCAAAAACCAAACCTTGGAACTATGGATTATCTTATTTGGAACCATGGGCACATTATGCATGAATATATAAGCATGGACATCACAGAGGCACATGCTGGTTCCTTTTACATATGTAACAGTTGAAATGCAGCCAGCATGTCCAAAAATAACACGTCATCAGTATAAAGAGGACAAAATCCTTTTGTACCATTCATCTGTTTACAGTGTTGACATAATATCATATCCTCACAGTCCATACTAATCACTTCTGCTGTGATAATGTGGCGGGAAAATCCACCCATAATTCCAGCTTCAAGTTGTATGTATATATACACGTAAAGCCAGCAATACTGCAGAGATATGGTTTCAGAACAGCGATGGCACACTTGTGCTCCTCCTTGTAGGAAAGAGGAAAGACCTGAAGGGCTTATCGGGAAATCAGCATTAAGAATCCATTTCTTTGCTTTCAGAAAATGGAACGTAGAAATGCACTGGTTCACGAACCCAAGAACCAGGAAGCAATGGTGAGGCAATAGGAGTGCAGGAGATAACCGAGAACAAAAACTGGGAGGAACCAAGGGAAAATGCCAAAGGGAAGTACTTAGGGCAGTTAAAGTTAAATAAAGGGAAAGGAAGATACTATTTGAGAAAATGAGAAATGATGTGGGTATGTTTCCAGGAAACTAAGGGGTGGGGACACTGAAAAGACCAGAAATAATAAGGAAAACTTAAAAGTTGGAAGCACAATCAGGAAGAGACACTTCTGTAAAAAGAACAAAGCATTCCTTACTAAAACTTTACTCTTTGTTACTAACACTAATGGACTAGTGTCAACTAAACACTGTTGTTTGTTTTCATAAAAGCCCATGAAGAATTTTGCCTGGGAATGATACTGTTAGCTGACTTTTTGCAGTTGATTAAATATTAAGTTCAATATTATCTTTAAAAAAACCCACCCTTTTAAAGACATAAGATTATAGGGAAACACTGGACTTTTGCCCAAGAGAATGAGAATAATTTCATTTTCCAAAAGATTATATAATATCACTTGAAAGGGTCGACAAGTAATTTTTAAAATATAATGTCTTAAGAAATAATTGCATAAATACACAAAAGTGCAGCAAGGTAAAAAGTAACAACGTAACTCATAAAAATGTGTATATGAAAACCTAAATATAAACAAGCTTATTCTGTCATATTATCAATTTCTTCAAAAGTTTTAGATGACTTTTATTCATAATATAAATATTATACATAACATTCATATTCCTCTCAGTGATCTGGGGATTACATGTGAGCTTTTCTAATCACATAATCATTTTCCTGAACAAACATTTAAAAATGTAACTTCACCTTTTGGCATTTTGTTGAATGAATGTAAAAATTAATCTAAAACTTCCTATGCATTAGTATCCAGAGTATGAGATATGTCTCCTTCAGTCAGCCATTACTCTCAGTTGAATAAAAAGCATTTTTAACATTGGTCCTATATTTTAATCACAAGGAGATCTTAAAAAGAGAAGAAAAAATGTCTGCACCCCACTCTATCTTTGGAAAGTCCTTCAGAGATTTTTATGTGTAGTCATGGTTGAGCACCACTTGGACAACATTCTGTTAACTGTTAGCCAAGATTTATAAACTTTTTGTTTTGATTTACTGACACCAGGGACTTTTAGAGAAGTGGAATATATGTGCACATATATACGTACACACAAATATCCCTGGTTATCTATCCATTCATCTATTTAGCCAGCCAGGCAGCCAGCTTTGAAAATAATGTTTAATTTTGCCTTTATAAATTTTGAGATATAATCTCATGGCAGTTTTTAGAAAAGATTATAAAGTGACTTGCTTAATATTACATAGCTACTGGCTTAACTATTACAAGAATCTTTGTTTTAGAAACTGTCGTGTAGTTATTATAAAAAGAAAATTTGATTTGGACACAAAAGATCTCTGTGCAATCTTGGTATCATTACAATTCTCTAGGTTTGATATTAGCCACCTATAAAAGAGTGATGCCTATTCCAAACTCATACAATTGTTGTAATGATTGAGTTAAGGGTATTAAGCAATATGGAGAACTGCGGAAAAGCAACTGAATTTCCCCTTTTAGAAGTAGGAATTCCAAACACAACCTAATCTCTTACTACAGCTCTCAAAAGTGACTTCATTTATGGAATTCAGCATAAGACATATTCTGAAGCAGGATCGCACAGTTCAGCCTATGGAAGTATAGTGTTTGCTAAATAACCAAACAGGTATGTATCACAAAAGCAGCTGAACAAGTCAGGGTACTGTGAGCATATTTAGGGTCCACATATGATTTTGAACAAACACATTTTCTCTTAAAAGATAGA